TTTCAATATACAAGATTTTATGTGATGAATAATGGAAACATAAGAATTGATCATGAGTAAAATTTGATGAGAATGAGTAGGCCTTGTAATGAAACTGATTGCCAAGTAAGTGACACATTTGATGGATATCAATAAATAGCTGATGAGTTTGTATTGGTCTCAATCTGTATACCTTACATGACCATATCTGAATTATTATATCCAGTATGAAAACATAACAATAATTGTAATAAAATAATGGTACCTCAGTAGTAATGAAGTTCTATAAAATAACGACATACTGAACATGTCAGCAAATTGAGCAAACATAATAAAAGGATCTTCATAAACGATAGAGGACTTATCACACGCAAAAGCCTCTAATTACATCACCCTGTACAGTTCATGATATGTGTTAAACATACCCATCTGTAAGCATGTGCTTAAGATAACAGCACATTTCCAAATCTCAACCATAACAATAACAAATTTTAGAAAATTGTCCTAAAACAAATTCAAAATAGGCTTGCCCATATTTTTAAATTGCAACACAATAATATCATAACATTTTTGTAGAGAATTTTTGAACAAAACAGGAGAGTTTAACACCAGTCCTGGAGAGATACTGATAGAAGGTAATAATTGTGCTACCCCCTGCAGGACAATAAATACATGGTAGTAACAGTTAATAGAAGAGCTTTAGCACCGAACACGCGTTGTTCACAAGTACAAAACAACCATGCAATATCAGCCCAGCTCGCTTGCAGTTGCTATAATGCATATTTTTTTCATGGTTAAGTGGACGGATTAATGTGCTTTGCCCAACCGACATCAGACTCCAGTCGGGGCATACACGGTACATCAAAATATGTACACAAGTTCAATTCCTCTAGGTCTCTTGGTCGCCCGACCCGTCTCTCCAAGACTTGTTTAATTTCGGACACGACTCAAGAAGTACTGGCAGCTCCGGGTGCTCAGCTTTCCAAGTACTTCCCTGTGACGCGGAGACGGTGGCAGAGAGCGGCCCAAGCTTGGAGCCGAGTTGGCTACATTCGGTTCAGACTATTACGCACTACTTCATGCGGTTAAGCACCAAGTCGGTCACGACGAGCAGACCCTTCTGGTACGGCGACTCTGCGATGCGCTCAGCCAAGCGCTGGGCCTCGACGCAGTGCTTGCGCGCCAGGAACTGCGTCTGCTCAAGGCCCTGCGACTTGTGCACCAGGTCGAACGCATGCTCCACGTCGCCGGGCTCCTGGAAGCGCCTCATGATCATGGCATTCAGCTCTGGGTACTGCGACAGAACAAAACCAGAGTTAGACACTTTAACGATCTGGTGCAGCAAGCACGACAGCGGAGGACGGGACTACTCATTTGTCACCGCCCTGGGACATCTGCGTACCGCCGATACCGATCAGACCCCACCCCACCTACCTTCTCACAAGCGAAGAGCACAGGTGCAGTAGCCAGCCCGAGCTTGAGGTCGGCCGCCGCCGGCTTGCCGAGGGCTGACGACGAGGCCACGAAGTCGAGGAGGTCGTCCACGAGCTGGAAGGCGAGGCCGACGTTGCGGCCGTACTGGAAGGCCAGCTCCGTGAGACCCTCGTCCGCCCCGGCAAGCATCGACTCCTGCGCGGAAGAGAGAGAGAGAGAGAGAGAGATAGAGTGAGTGTTATCAGCGTCATCAGGGCACACCCTGCCCAGGAAAGTTCAGCCGATGCAAGTGTGCGAGTGTACTCACAGCCTTCAGGTAGTTGGCGATCAGGCTGGCGGTCTTCCTGTAGGTCTTGGTCAGGTAGTGCGTGAACCTCTCGTTCTCTGTCTCCTTGGAGCCCAGCTGCATGAACTCGCCCTGCACGAGGTCGGTCAGCACCTGCAGCACAAGAGAGCACAAGCCGCCTTAGCATAAGCATCGCGCCGCGTGCTCCACCCTTCCGCCTACCCCCACCCAACCGCCCGGTCTGGAGCCAATTGGGCTGCCTACCCTTCCGGCGCACCGCACACGTACCTGGCCGAGGCAGATCGTGACGTCGTCGTTGTTGATTCTGGCGATGAGGATGGAGGCGACGGCGAGGATGAAGTCTCCGGACATGGCAACCTGCGGGCAGAAGGGAGAAGGCGGTGATGAAACTAAAACCGGACACAGCGTCACCTCCACATGAGGGCCGGTTTGTAATCGCACGGCCGAATGACGAGGAAAGAGGGAACATAAAAATATGTTGGAACTGTGGGAACAGAAAAAAAATATATACAAACAGTCCCAGTGAGAAAGCCATTAAATAGGCCAAAAACTGTAGGAAACGATGACCAGAAACGCGGGCGAGCCCAAACGGGATCTTAACAAGAACAGGACCAAAGGGTCCGAGTGGGGTTAAGTGGGGGGAGGGGAAGGGCCGGCCGCTACTCTCGGCAGACCAGCGCGACGGGGAGGGCCTCTAGGACCCGCAGGTCCCGCAGGCCGAGGGCTTGCACCGGCGCGCTGCAGGGACAAAAGAAAGGGAAGGCCAATGATTGATGCGTTGGGTTGCGTCACGAACAGGCCCAATGGCGCGACGCTCGGCGGGCTGGGCTGGGTCCGGTGGTGGTGCCCGCCCGGCCCGGCCCGATCTGGGCTCCCCTGTCCGCCTGGCTCGGCATGTTTCTCTCCAGACAATTGCCCCCAATCTCCCGCCCTGGTCCCACCCCGTCCCGTCCCGCCCACCCAACGCGACGCCTAGTCTCCACGACCGGGGCAGCCCCACCACGTGCGGGTGCACAGGTGCGGGGGAGGTGGAGGGCGACATCGCGAAGGGGCAGCAGCCTGTAGTTGCGTGGGGGAGGAAAGCCCAGAGAGCGTATTGTCCTCTGTGGGCCGCCGCCGCCGCCGCTGCTGCTGGTCGCGCTGCAGGGGCGCCACTCCCCGCCCCGCCGCGCCACACGGTGGTGGACCCCCAGCGCGGGCTCCGACCACAACAAGAGGGAGGGGACTCTGCGGGGAGCCGCGTATGTCACCGCACACACACACACACACACACACGCACACACGCACAAACGTGTGGCTGCGGTCACGGGTCGAACCCAACCGCAAAGCCGACAGTTGACATGTGTCGACACTTGTATTGTAGTCAATATTAATATGCAAACAAATAATAATTATTGTTTATCAATTCGCGGTGTTTTGTTCAAATTCATTAGGATTATTTCATATATGAAATCCACCAAAAACTACGAGTTGGAGCGAATCTCGGCCGGTCCGTCTCGTCCCGCGGCTCCCCACCCTAAACACTTTCTCTGTCGGCAGCGGGACAGCCGGCAGCGGCAGGTGGCGAGGAAGGTGCGGCACGGCGGGGCGTGGCGCGTCGTGGCGGGGCGTGCCAGAGGGGGTTATGGGGGAAGGGGGGGGGGGGGTGCCCGGCCGCAGTATTTTAACAGCGATATGCCCTGGCTCGGCCTAAGGCTCGGCTCCGTCCACAAATGAGAGGAAGGAAGCGGTCCTTTTGTTCCGACCGGCGGAAGCAGAAATCGGGCAAAGCCGGGCAGAAGCGGCGGCGGCGGAGGAGCCAAATGACGCAATGGGCCTCCCTTCCCCCGCCATGCGAGGAGCGGCTCCGGAGCGGAGCAGAGCGGCGCAGAGCGGCACACGGGCGAAAGCGGAGCAAAGCGACGTCACGCAGTGTAAGCCAGCCCGGGCGCACGCAGCCGAGCAACAAGAGGACGAGCACGGGGGAGGCATGGTGTAAGGGAGGCGTGGTGGAGGGTAGGCGGGTAGGGTAGGCGGGTAGGTGTGGTGAACAGGGAGGCGTGGAGTAGAAGGAGGCGTGGTGTGAAGCTATGTGTGGTGTTAAGCCATGTGAGGTGTAAAGGTATGTGTGGCGCAAAGGGAGGCTTGGTGTACAGGCATTTCTGGTGTGAAGGTATGTGTAGTGTAAAGGTATATGTAGTGTGAAGGGAGTCGTGGTGTAGAAGGGGACGTGGTAGAGTGAGGCGTAGTACCACACGTGTAAGGGGGCGCAAGGGAGGACTGATCGTCCTTGTCCAGAAAGAGCGCCTATTTTTCTGGTTCCTTCGGCTAACGGGAGCACGGCGCCTGCGAGATTCGGGGTAGGCCACCCAGCAGTGCACGCACGCACTGAAGGAAATGTGTTGCCTACCCACCAGGCGCTACGAGAGCTTGTACAGGATGAACCACGTAGGCAGATTCGTAAAACGGCGAACGACGGGCGTAACTTTCTGGATCATAACCAAGGACCACGCAAGAGTTAAATAAAGGCGCAAGAGTTAAGGGAGGCGCAGACTGCGCGTCTAGTCTAGAACGCAATGAAGAAAGCAGTCGAGCAGTCGTGCAACAACCCTATTGGATGTTGAAGATGAAGAAAGAGGTCGCAAACAAGTGAAGAAGGGAAGGCAGGTAGTGCAGGCAGAGGGGGGGGGGCGCACCCGAAACCACCTGACTGAAGGACCTGTCGTGTCGTCGTACACCGCGGGGCAAGGCGTGGACACTACCCGCACTCGCGAGCACCTCCTCACGCCTCTCGCTCGAACCAACACAAACACGACAACAATAATGACATCACATTTTCGGCACCACGCCGGCCGCCGTGTGGGGCCGCGAGCCGATGCAAGGCCGTGCAAGAGCAGCATTGTGTCGTGTAGTGCGTTGGGCCGCGCACATGGCGACGGCATGCGACATGACGTGCGGCGGCGCGCCAAGGACGAGCAGTTGCAGTGCAATTAATTCATATCACCGGTTCACGCGCCGCGTCCCCACGCATAGCTGACCCAAATTCGACATGAGCAGGACCTTCCCGGACGGCGTGCGTGGCGCCGCGCGCCGCCGCCAGGACCGCGACGGGACGAGTGGGGACACAGCCTGACAACCGGACAAAGTGTCACCAGCGCGCGCCGGCGCGGGAAGTGCAGTGTCCTCGCGGAGCTTACCAACCGACCTCGGCCGCCAAACGCGATTTGGACGAAGCAATAGTGGTGGAGGCCCCGCCAGCCCACACGTCCGGCCCGGCGTTAATCATATCGGCCAGAACATTATGCCATATTGCATTGCGCGGCGAAGTTACTAGGAACGAAGAAGCAAAGAAGTGATCATGGAAATACCACAAAAACAAGGCACGATCAACCTGGCCCTGCCCTCTTCCCCTTCTCCGCGTGGACCCCACCCCACTGGTGCCCAATCAGCGCGCCCGTAACTAGCCGCGTAATAACTATAGCCCTGTGTCAAGGTGGTGGTGTTGATTTTTTTTTTTAGTTTCTGAAAAGGCGTCGGAACGCGCGAGGACGACAAGGGGCTTGTGTCATGCGAGTAAGGCCCGCGAGGCACGGCGGCGGCCCGGCACGCAACGACAGAGGAGTGCGTCCTGTCCACTCGCAGACAGGTCCAATTAGTGGGGGTGCCGCCGGTGCAGCAAGGGGACAGAGAGATAGACAGAGAAGGACAGAGAGAGATAGAAAGGGCCAAATAAGGCAACGTGGGGGAATCAAACCCGCAACTTGTGCGCGGGGAATTGATTAAGATTACAATCTATAATCGACTACAGTAGTGGAGGTGGAGAGGCTGCCGATCTCGCCGACAAGTCCCGCAGGATGTTATGGGTTGCTGGCTGCTCTACGCGAGGCCGCCGGACGGGATAGGGCCACGCGGACCCCCCCGTCAGCTCAAAACTCCTATATAGCTCCGCCGCTGCCAAAGACTTTGGGCCTTGAGCAGCTCCAACTGCCAACAAGTTGACGCGTCGACACGGCGACACGGGCGCGGCGCGTGCCGCAGACATGTCACGCGTGAGCGTCACGGAGGGCCATTCCCATTCGACAGGAGGAGGAGGAGAGGCGAACAACGGCGGCGCGTGTGGAGTCGCCGTGCCGGAGCACAAAACAGAAACGGCCGCCCAAGCCGCGGCGGAGACCTCGGACCATGAGGCGCCTGACCCGGAGGGCGGGCGCCTTGCAAGTGGCAGTAGGCAGCCCGCCCGCACGGCTGCGCTGCCCTACCAGAGGTTGCCTACATCCGCGTCGCGGAGCGCTCGGCAGCGCAGGCAATACGCTCGCACAGTATTGCCTACTCGTATACTGAGGTAGTGAGGTCGGTGCGCGCGCTGCCTCGCATACTATACTTGTACGAAACATCGTAACCACTCCAGCGCTCCGTTACGGGGCTTCATAAAGAAACAATTTGCAGAGCTTGCATGGCGCGGCTGCATTATCCGTCCGTTACTGCCCCGTGTGTGTCGTAAGGGGAGGCTGCGTGTTTGTCGCCGCCCGGCCCGGCGGAGCGCGGCGCGCGCACGGAGAGCAGGGCACGGCGCTCTTTGACATTGTTGCGGCCAGCGGCGGGGCTGCCATCATCGTATACCAATACGCGATGCACCACTCACAATGCGCGACACCGCGCGACGCCACGCCCGCCCGCATGGCAATCACCGCGGCCATGCAACGCGCGCGTGCAGTGCAGTGCGCAGCGGCCCCCTTGCATCACGACACTCGTAAAAGCCCTCCGCTCCTCTTCTTATTCATCAGCGCTTTACGACCCGCGTTTATAATCGATTCAATCAACCTACATGTCTCTCGTTTCTCCCCGTAAAACACCATCAGTCATACTTCTTGTCTACCCTGCCCCTGTACCGCTACCGGTCGCTACACTCTGGGGCCCCTGTCAGCGCCGCGCGCGCACTCGCCCCCCCCCCCCTCCTCCCCGGACTCACTCGCTGCTGGACCATTTCGACCCGCTTCCCACGCAACACCATCTTTAGTATCACTTCATTAAGACGACGGAGCCATCCTCTCGTGCAGACAGACGCGCGCGGCGCCTCTCCAGTAGCGTGACAACGCGTCGGGGCCAGCCGGGGCCAGGGGCCAGAGCAAGGGTAAACGAGGCCCTTGTCCAACAATAGCGGAGCGCTAAGCGTTTCCCACATTGTCACAGCGCGGGCGAGCGCGACGCGACCCCACCAAGGCCTGGCCGCTCTGCACTCGCCGCACGCGCGCGGGGGACGTCCCGACCCGGCACGCCTAAAGGCACGCCCTGCCGGCCCCGCGGGAGAAACAAATGAACGCGCAGATGAAGCGGGTTGGTTTTGCATTCAAAGCGGTGCACCCGGGCTCTGACAGAGG